GGCCCGAGAGGGGTCTGGCCGTCCCCGTCGCCCCCAGCCCTGCCTGGGGGGTTGGCTGTAGCGCCGCGGCCGTGCTCGGGAACGGGCCGAAGGCGGCGGCTTCGCGGCGTGCAGTCTGCCCAGCCAGCCCGGGCGCCGTTTAACGCGCTGCCTTCTGCCTCTTGTCCTGCCCAGCTGGCGAAAGACCTGGTGCACCCCTCCTTAGAGGATGAGAAGAGAAAGCACAAAAAGAAACGTCTTGTGCAGAGCCCAAACTCCTACTTTATGGATGTAAAATGTCCAGGTAAAGATAAAATGTTTCTGTCTTACACAAGAACAAAACTTATTTTGTATGAGGTTCAGCTTCATAAAAGGTCTGACTTCTTAATCTTATATATATATTTTAATCTGAATGTGGTTTATCTGTTCTGCAGAGAAAAAAGTCTGTATATTGGTTTGAGTTCTTTTAACAATAAAATTGTTTTCAACCTGTTTCAAAAGTTAAACAATCAGATTTTTGTTTTCTTTTCTGGAGGTCTGGCATGAGATTTATTTTTTTTTCTTTCACTTGTGAAATCCTGGCAAATCGGGGAAAAACCAAACCCCCAGATCTGCATGTATAAGAAGTGAGATAAAATGGATGCCTTAAAGCATCCATGGCACAAGTTTCAAATAGAAGACAAGATTTTCCTCCTTTTCTAAGTTGGTTGATTCTGGAAGAGCAACCAGAAGAACTTTCCCCAAGGATACACACAGGCATACTGGGACTTTACACAGAAGGTAAAACACAGACAACTGCCCTTTTTGCATGTTAGTGTTAAGAAGTAAGATGACATCTAGCTCACATCTACAGGGGTTATATTTAGGGTGTTGCTTGTGTCCCCTTTTCACTGATTTTCATTACTTTGGCTCAGAAACATCTGTACAACCAACTTCTCCTTTATAAACTAAACCATGGGATCTTCCAGCACAGTTACAGGAGCATGCTCTACCAGTGAGCAGCTTTGATGAGCACAGCTGCGTCCACATCAAGGCATAGAAATTATCAAGTGTGGTAACATCTCCTAGAAACTACTGCAGTATAAGAAGATTATAGCAGTAAGCAAATGCATAGACTTACTTACAGTAGTGGTCATCCTGACTAGAAGCGGGGAATTGTTGCTGTATTCAGGTTTTCTTATTATCTTAATCTTTCTTAGTAGCTTAGATTTCTAAGAAGCTCTGAGACATTGTTTTCCATCTAAAAGTGAGGTAAATTCATTAAAACTGTTTGAAAGTAAAGTGTGGTTACTTTTAACAAACCTATGGTTGAAGGCTAAGCCACTAACTTGGTTTTTTTTAAACTTTCTTCAAACCAGTGTACATGCATGCAAATACTAAGATACAGTTAATGCGAACATAGGCCCATAGGTCATTTGTTATCTTCATTACTGTTGGATTAATTGGTCATTGAGTTTGAGGGATACACAGCAAAGCAGGAGAGCTTCAATGACAGAGTCCTAAGCACAAGGCACTGAAAATACCAGACGGCCTTACGCATCATTCAGTGGTGTTGGAAGTTGCTACCTCATTACTGAAACAGATTGGGCTCATTTCCCTGCAAAATCCACAAAGTTAAAAACTCATCAACATGGAAGATCACGTTCATGGGGGAAAACCAACATTTGCTAGGGTTAAATTTTTGCTGCTAGCAATTTTTTTTTTTTTTTGCAAACAAAGATTCGTGATGTTACTATTTGTGATTTAAACAAAGCAGAAATTTGTTACTATGTCTAACAGGAGTTCTCTCTACCAACCAGTTCTACTGTCAGACAGCCTTCCGAGACCTTCCTCACAACACGTATTCTGTCTTATTTTTCTGGTCCACACATGGTGAAAATGGAATCTATGCTCACCTTTATCCATTTGTTTTCTATATCCACACCTAGATTAAATCCCTTACAAGTTTTCTCTCTCCAAAAATTCCTCTTGGGTAATTAAAAATACTTTTCAGGGAAAAGAACGAAAGCAGTGAAAATCCCTTTGCCTAAGCCACGTATGGGAGTGATTTCATTCTTTCTTAAGTCCTAGAATTTAGAAGTAGACAAAATGTTGCTGGTGCCCCTTCTTGCATCTGGAATTAGTGAAGTTATTCTGTGCAAGTCTTCTCATTTAAGTATGACGCTACCTTTGTAGAATGTAACCAAACACATGCCTTAGGTGTATCAATTATTAAACAGAAAGCAAACACAGACTTGAACAGCAGTGTTTATATTCACAGCTGCCAGACTTGGTGAACAGCAATGTTCTAGTATTACAAATTAAATATTTCTCTAGCTAGATGGGTTCTTCTCTTCAGCAGAGAAGGCTAGTCTCAAACTCCGTGACTTTTTCGCAGGAGACAAACTACAGGCGAATTAGGGCTTGTCAGCCAGCAGGCTGCGTTCGTTTTCACACGGGGAGTCATAACAGTTTCAGTTAACTGACTTGCTTTCACACGCACGTTAGTAAAAGCAAGGACTTCAGACCTCAATAACAATGTTTTGCTTTGTTTTACCTGGTATGCTGTATAATGAAATATAGATCCATTTTTGGACAAGTGTATTTAGAGTATCTGTTTCAATTACACATACCATAAAAAAATCATGCTAGAAATACTCAGTGGAAAGTTTAATAATGCTCTTTTCCAGGATGCTACAAGATCACCACTGTATTCAGCCATGCTCAGACAGTAGTTCTGTGTGTAGGGTGCTCAACTGTCCTGTGTCAGCCTACTGGAGGGAAAGCCAGGCTCACAGAAGGTAAGGGGCAATGTTTAGCAGCCTCAATATTCCACTTGCATAAATGCATTTATGTATTTATAGCCTGCAAATATTTTAGCTTTGATTTTGAAAACTGATATTGGAATGTTTATTGTGCAAATTGCTTAGAGTTGGCTAGTAAAAACGTTGTTCATGGGCCCTGAATTGCAATTATTTTTTTTTCGGATTCTTGTTTTTAAATGGATATACAGATGGGCCAGGCAGCTAAGCAGCTACATTCTGATCAAACGCACTTGATTTTAGGAGGTTTGACTTGTTGTTTCCTTTAGCCTATCTGTAATAAATACTACCCATTTAATTCTGAGATAAGTTTACAGCGTTAAAGAGCGCCGTTAAAGAAGTAGGGTACTTTTGCCAGGCTAAAGTGATTCTGTGTCACTGCTAGTCAGTGATGGCTTGCTTGTTTGTTTTTAAACAGCAGTACTGTAAGGCAGTTCCCTGGCTCACATTGCCTAATCAACATTTGTTTTGTATAAATTGTAAAGGAACAAAATAATCACTGATAATTATATACAGATAACTGGTACAGCACCAGCATATCTTGAAATGCAACCCAATGTCTGGGGTATATGAAAAGCATTGGAAACACTTGAGGGTTTTAAAAAAAAAAAAAGAACAAATCCAGATTTTATTACTGTTTCCTTTAAAGGACAAAAGGTAAATGTATATGCAAATTACATATAGTAGTGCTTGTACTATATGGATGTAGTTTATATGAGGACAGAGTACTTGAAGTAAGGCTGTTGAGCAGTTGAAAAGGTATCAACACTGCTAGCAGCTGTTTCAGTTGGGGTTTTGTTATCACTAAGGCATGGAACAGTAGACTGAAATTTTAAAAGGCATCTGGAAGAAAAGACGTAATACACCTTAGCCTTATTTTAAGAAGAATTATAAGACAGCCATGTTGTTCTGGCTGAGTTAGAGCACACTCAAAGCACTAAATCTTCACCTCTTGTGGTACATGCAATTTAAATTCATTGCATGAGTTTTCCTACTTAAGTTGGGTGGGCAATTTTCCAAGGCAGTCTAACAATTTAAGGACTATTCATATCAATACTCATGTGATTTCTTTACAGGCTGTTCATTTAGAAGAAAACAACACTGAACACTTCAGCACGTGGGTTTGGATCTGTGTTCCGGAAAGCCTTACCAGTTTGAAAATGCCTGTTAATACCACAATGTAATTAGAATTGATTTTGTAAAAATTACATGCTATTGCTGATTAATGAGCTGGAATCTCTTTTTCAATAATGATCTGAAGTGCAAGTTTTTCCTGCAAGTTTGCAGACAACTGACCTCTATTTTTATAATTTTACTTTTAAACGGTGTATTGTTAATTGAGTGGTGTCACTTAATATAAAAGCCTTGGACTTGTTGCCTCCTTCCCCTTGTTAATCATCAACTACAGCAGGGTAACGCATATGGTGATGGAAACTGCTGTAAGAATGCATTTTGTGTACGTTATTACTGCAGCTACCTTAACTTGCAAGGGTTAGGTAGATTTAAAATGGATCATTTGCTTTCAATATTGCTTTAGTCCCTTTACTATGTTGAATAACATGGTGATAAATAAAAATATAAAGTTACTCACTTACGTTCAGCTGTTTTTCTGGAATGCATGTTTTTTTCCCTGCTCTAATCTGGTCTTGAAACTGCATTTCGTATTCTATACTGAGACTTCTATGCAAAAAAAAAAAAAAAAAAGTCTTTTGCAAAACACTGAATGCATTCAGTATGGAGAAGGCATATGGTATATAAGCAAAAGTAAGTCAGCAGACTACATTAACAGCTGTGAATGGTATCCAGTCATTAAAAAAATAGTACAGCAAAACCATGCACATTTTCAGTATTAAATACTGACATTAAATAATTACCTTTTTACAGTGAGGAAACAGGTTTTTAGTTAGTTTTTAAAAGCCATCCTTTTCTAAATGGCTGTTAAAAAGTGGATTTTTTTTAAGCCATGAGGAAACACTCAAAGTCTTACATATATCTTATTTTACTAAATAATATCTCAAGTTAAGTATCAACATCTCTTTCAAAGTATCGGGTGTCTTGGTGAGCTAAATATTGTTGGGAATTTCTATTTAACCTGTATTATTTACGAGTCTTAAAACTTGTACATTTCTAGCGAATAACCCCCCCCCCAAACCCAGTATTACAATTCGCTGCATTTGCAAGATAAGTTTTATTAGTTCAAACAGTAAACACTTATAATTACCAGATGCAAAAAGTAGGTGTTTGACACAGAAATAGATGCATCAATTTAGTATACATGCCTTTTGGGAAAAGTACAGTTTTAAGTCAGTGCCATACTGTGTTTTCACAATAAAGGTTCATTTAAGAGCAAGTTTATCATGAAAGCTGCTCTTAATTGACCAGTTTCCCACATCTATTGCCAGTCCATCAAATAAGTGGTTTCAGAACAAAGATCAAAGCAATATTAATTCACTTGTGACCTGAATACACATGCTAAGGCCAGATTGATTCTCAGTCTTCCATATCTCTGCCTTCTCTTCCTCTACCCTGAAAGATAAGGACTCATGATTAAGTAAACACCAAACCAGAGAAAGTCAGTGACCCATTCTGTTCCAGGTACTGGAAGATGAAATTTAGACATAATAGCATCTCCAATACTTTTATTTTAAAAGCCTTAAGTTACAGGAGATACAGCATAAAGAATATGGTATGCATACAAAAAAGGTTGGTGGCTAAAGACAGGCTATGAGGGGAGTGAGACACTGTGATTAATATCTTGGTGTTAGAAATGTCTTAAGACATTTCTTACCATTATTTGTTTCATATGTACTTCAAATATTTACATTTATTAGTGTTTGGTCATATGCAGACAAGCATAATGGTAAACCTATACTTTCTACATCCTGAATCTTTCTCTAAATCCAAACACAATGGTCTGTGAGCAAAACTTGTTTTCTCTCAAGTATGCAAAATGGTTTTCAAGACCAATAAATACCATTTGCAAAAAAGTATGTTATAAATCCTAAAGTAACACCGTTACTTTTCAGATTTTCTACATTTAAAACATTGTATTTTGTCTATTTCTATTCAGGTATTCTTCAACACAAAACCAACTCAGAACTACTTACTCTTGTTCCCTGTGTAAAACAGGCAATGACTTCTGCTGCTGCACGTTTACCCAGCTAGTAGGCACTCAAGACTGAAAAAAATCCCAAACCTTGGTATGGTAGAAGATGTTCACCTCCAGTACTTCTGTATTGGAACTGTCAAAGAATATCAAAGACCTCAGTGGGAGGGTAGATAATTTGTTGCCTGACCAAATAAGTTTATCCAGAAAGGTTCTCTCTGTTGTCTCTACTGGCTTGATATTCTTGAGATAAAGACAACCCATTAATAGTGAATAAAAAGGAAGTTTTGGTGAGTGGGCCAGAAAACCCAAGCAAATAATTTAGCTGTAAGATTTTCCTGTTTTAAGGCACAAGAATTATTATAATTATGAAGAGTACTAAACTAGTCCTACTAGCTTCAATTAAAAATGTAGTTCTAACACCAATACCTCAAAATACTACGTTTCCTGGTTCGTCAGTCTTAGGTAATAAATGTTATCATAGGCATACTGGGAACAGAGACGACAGCAGTTTGCTTCATCACAGGGCAGGTAACAACTATGAAGTTAATACCAGAAGCACTAACTTGGGAAAGAGGCCAGTAAGGCTATCACCTGCTAGCTGTTATCTTGCTCCTTAAATTCGGAGAAGCAGAGCTGCTACACAGTGCAGGGAGGTAAGTATTCAAACCTTTCCGGAAGGATATTTAGTTTTGTCTCAGCCTGGAAATACTGTCTGATGTAACTGCAGGGGAAGTGGGGTGGGGGTAAATATTGGAGATCACTGATATCTTCCATGCCATTATGGAATATATAAAATTAACACATTCAGATATTCTTGTATTCCTATAGTAAAATTGAAGATTTGGAAATGCTTCTTTGGAACCCTATCGCAACTTCTTGTTCAACCCTGTGCAAAAAAGTAACTCCTCGAGGCAGGACTCCAAATGGAAAAAAAGGATGGTTTTCAGAAAAAAAACCTCTCAAAAGTCTGAGAGACTTCTACTACTGGCTTCAAGAATGGGCTTTAAATTTTATTGACTTGAGTTCCTATTCCTATATCTAGAGGAATATCTACATTACAGAACACAGGGCCATTTCTGGCTACCAAAGTTAGCATGTGTATCATTCAAAAACAATGAGACAGTTTGACAGCTCACCATGTTGTGCTATTTGGGCATATTCGACTGTGGAAGTAATACCCTTATTTCACAGTAAACTAGTTTCACACATTCTCTGTGTCCAATACAAACGGAAGAGAGGACATCTAAATAACAAAAAGATTTTTACTTACATTACTTTAGCTTCGTTCTTTTCTAATTCTTAACAATCCACAGCTCTGACAAAAGTGTACTTCTGGTATAAATCTGCATTCTGGATGTAGCTTCAAGATTTGGGGTTTGTTGGGTTTTTTTGCTTTTTAAGCAAATACGAAAAGCACTATGTGAAAATGTAAAAACAGTAAAACCATTTTTCTTTAAAAAGTAATACTGACCAGTTTTGGCAGACTAGAACTAAGAATAATGAATTATGTCTTTGTGTGCTCAAATCAAGATGTGAATTTTTTCAAAAGTTTAACATTTAAGGTAGATAATTTGTTGTACTTCTCAGCGCAAGAAACTGATGGTAGTTTTAAAAATCTTGGTCAAGTGCTTGACTGGATGAGAAAAACAACCTGCTAATATAATGACAATTTAGACAGGTACTACAGAAAGTCAAATTTGACTGTTACATTCTCCTTTTCCGTAAGTTAGGAACTTCCCTGAGAGATGAATTCCAGTTACACGTTAGTTTAGCACCACTAGCAGAAGTTAATGAAGTGAATTTTTGATGCTTTTTCTTCACGTATTCTTAGTGATCTCAAAGTCCAATTACACCCTTCTCCATTTGTTTTTCGTGTTGCAGTACAGCGAGTTCAGTTACACGTACCTCTTTTTTAATCTATATATTGTGCCCATTTTTCTTTATCAAATTCCCTTGCAATCTTTAAGGCAGTGCTGTTGAGTGAAACCGATTGCATATTACAGATAATACTAACAATTACTCCTCTAGGTGGTGCCACTAGCCCAGTATCTATAGCTTCAGAGTCCAACTCTTCAGGAAGAATCAGGAGGACGCTACTTGCCCCCACTGCACCACCCGTATGAGATGCATAGTGTCTCTGCTGTCTGCAACAGCCACATTGTTGTTTTTTCTCTACTACAGCCCAAGCCATCGCGTATTTACCGTCCCTGTCCCACGATACTTCTGTTTTTGGCACCGGGGTCCACATCATTGCGACTGTGTCTGGTTTGAGGTACCCAGGAAGAAGTTTGCCATTACTGTTTTTAAATTGTCCAGCTTGATAACTGTATAACAAGGCATTTCCAAATTTCAGAAGGTCACCTACTGATGACAGAAAGCCACCACCAGCCCACTTGTAAGAGTTGTCCACATATGGTGCGTTTACCAGCCGTCCCTTTTTGTTGTAAACATAACACCTAGAATTCAAGAAAATTCAACTTGTCATTCTCATATACCATACACAACTATTTTAAGCTGCCTTACCTTAAAAGAGCAATTTGAGCATGTATTAGCTTGTTCTCATGAAACTTTCAAATTTTTTAAAAGATATTTTTCTTAAATATATTTCTTGCAGAAAAATCAACAAGAAATTCAGACAGGAAAACAAAAATTAAGGTGACTTCTTAGGTTATAAGCTTAGTTTCAATAAAAGTACTCATCCTTCTTCTTACTCTTAGGATATACTAAGAGTAAAGGCAACATACAAATAAGAGCTGTGACAGAAATCTACAGAGCAGCCAGCACAGGATATTTCTTAAAACCCTGTACTAGATTTAAAGTGTTTTAAGGAAGAGAAATCTCCTACAACAACTCCACGATTATCAAACACTGAGCTGAAATTTCACTGGTCTTAGGTGGCTGCTCTGAGACAGCAGCTTCCATTTATGATTGATTTCTCCCCACTGCCCCATTACAGTTACCATATTCTACAACAACTGAATATTCTGGAACTAATAAGAAAAGTGAGAAGCACAAAAGAGTCTTGCAAAACCTGTCATTAAAATACAAATTAGAAACTACCAACCAGAATTGTGGAATGAACTGTCAGGAACAACACAACAGGAGTGCAGACTGAATTACGCTTTTGAAAGAAACATTCCAATCACGACTGGATTCATTTCATACAACATATGAAAAGGAATGTTGAATAATTATATAATCTGATGAATTTCAGCCTTTGGCCTTTAGACCATAAGATGTCCATGTACTACCCGGAGAGTTGTGAAAAGGAACCATGCACAAAAAAAATAAAAGGGGAGGGAGGGGGACGGGTCAGGGCAATTCTACTATCAAACAGTACAGAGATACATTCCCTATCTAGTCCGCACTTACACTGCAAAACTTCTAGGGAACTTCTGAAAGCCCTAACACTGAAAATCAGAGGTTGAAGCAAAGGAAGAGAGATGAATGGTCCAGGACCACCATCAGCTCTGCCAGTGACTTGTTTATCTTGGTGTCCCTATAGTCAGTTTTTTGATCACAACACCTGTTACAAAGATGCTGAAATGCTTGACTTACACCTCGACGAGATCTAAAACATGTTTTTTTTAAAAACATTTTCATGTTAGTGAAATATAGTATAACCAAACCATTAAACAAAAACCATGTCAACATGTTGTAATTTGAGGCACCAAACTAGCTATTTGTGGAAGCAAAGCCATCACAGTAGTACCTCAGTTTTGCTAAACAGTAAGTAGCCCGTAAAAGACCCTCAAACACCATCTGTCCCAATTCTTTCATCCCTACCATATTTCAGTTTATAAAAGGGTTAATATACACGCATATATTTAAATGAACTTGACTGTACAAGCTTGATAATTTATGAGAACATCACTAGCATACAGATCTACAGCCGGAAGAGCCTCTGAAAATTTGCAAGCAAAATAAATACCAGCACAAAGCATCTTGGAATACAGCAGTAAAGCTATCCCTAAAACATTACAAACTGCTTTGTGTGTGTTAGTACATACATATACACACATACGCTTTAAATACACACTTACATGTAAGTACTATACGCTTTGGATTCAACATGTTCATCACCATTTTCTTTTTTTGAGAGCATTTTAGAAGCCAAACTTTTTAAAGGTTTGATTCTCATTTTCATGAGACTTTTTCCAAAACCTGCTTTTGTGATTGTTAGAACTCTTCTCCAACATCAACATTTAACAGGTGATTCAATAAATCAATTTCAGAACCCAGCCAGTTAAGTCAATAAAATAAGACTAGAGAGAAAGAGAAGAAACTACGCTTATCCACTATATTGGAATGGATTATCTAGATATATAAATTTCTCTGGGTTTTTTTTGTAGTTTTTTAAAGTAATAAAAAGAAATCAATAGGTAAAACATGATCGGGGTTAACACAGAATTGTAATTCTTGTTAAAATTGATACTACAATTAAATTTATTAAAAACTTTTGTTACTGTGAGACTATTACAATGCCACGGAACTCTTAAAGTCAGTATATTAAGCAAACCAAGGTAACTATACATTCTAACATAATCTCCTAGTTCCTCCTGTATTTTACTCTACACTTACCTGCTTATTTGTACCCAAAATAAATGCAAACTTCAAAGTCACCCCTGCCACTTCCCCCATATATACTCTTCTATCAGGAAATATTTCCTATTCTGCCATTTCACATGCTAATTACAGAATCAATACTCTAATGCTGACATAAAATCAGTTACATGACTAACTTTGAAATAACAAACCACTTCAATTAAAAGCCTGAAAAAAATAGAATACACACATTCTTAATTCATTTGGCTTAATAAAGATAGAAAGAGCAACAATTGTGGAAAAAAAAGGTTCATCCTTGTTTACCTTGCTCTGTTATATATCATTGCTTCATTGTCATCTAGTACAGTTGATAGCATATCCAAATCACGAAACATTTTTAGCATATAATCTGTAAATTTTTGTCCTGAAACTCTCTCCACAACAGCGCTTAAGAGAGTAAAGCCATATGTTGAATACAAGAACTGACTACCTTGAAGAAACACAATGAGAAAGGGGGGGGGGGAAGTTAGCCGCATGATGCTTAAATGGAATCTGAAGGATAAAATTTAAGTAATCACATATGCAAATAAAACTATATATAGCAATGAATAATCAATTAAAAGACACCCCCTCCATCCCCATTAATGTGATGTGAATTACAAGTTTATGATACTGGGCCCTGGGAATTTCTGTACTGCAGCAGACAGGTGCTTGCCATGCGCGGGTAGCTCTGAGAACAGCACTAAAAAATTTTCAGGGATCTGCATGTACAGCCAGGTTTCATGCCAAGAGGCGAAGACTTACATTTAGCATCCTCTCCACAAGATTTACCATACCAGTTCTAACAAGGAAGTCTGGATTTGGAAAGCTGAAGCAAACCATAAAATTACTTTGTAAAAGATGCTCACTTACTGTGTCTTGTTTGTGTGTCTATACCCTAGAGATGGAAAGACAAGGGTAGTAGTACTCGCTCAAGGTTTTCAAAGGTCTTGATCACTCCTATCATAGTGTTTCTAAGTTCTAGTTTTCTAGTGCTAGAATATCCTGAAAGATTATATGAACACTAACATGTATATTATTTAAGACAATCTAATTTATTTATAAAACGTTTCATTTTTAAAAATCTCATTCTTGTGCTAACATCTTTTATGAAACATATACCTATTGAGCAACTGCCAAACTGCCACAGTCCAGACATATCTCTCACGTGAAATGGTTCTTAGAACTCTCCCATACGGTAAGTCGTTAACTTCTCCCCCTTCCTATCCCTCTCCTCTTAATGCACGTTAATTTCCATTTATCAGCAACGTGTACCATTTGCTTGTTACCCTTGTTCATTTAGAACTTACACCCAAAGTTCCTCAAAGTCCTGGCTAGAATTAACTTAAATAATTCCAACAATAAATAACCTCAACAATTCTGTGATTCTGTGGCCTTTCTGTAAAATCTTTTAGCTCTGCTTTAGTGCCTCAGTAAATCTTTTTTTCTTTCGGTTCATATCTAGAAGATACGCATGAATACAGCAAGTTGGCATCTGCTTACAAAGTATTTTGCAGACACAAATTTGTTACCAAAATTATAATCTCCTTTAGCATTTACAAATTCAGTAACTGGTACGTTTTGTAGCACTTTGCATTACTTAAAGCTCCTGGGAGAAAAGTCTTATTTCTACCGCAAGTCTCACTTTCTCTTCTCCCCTGCATTATCTAGGACTCTTTGTATTTATTACCTTTGAAGTCTTGGCTACATCACATTTTGAACCTGCTGGATTATGGTGCAGATACACCATTAGAAGGTATCTATACAAGCATAATTCTTTAAGTCAGTAGATTGATAAAGATACCTATACAAGACTGTTATCTAAAATTGAACTGATAAAATCCTGATCAGTTCAGTCTTCAAAAGTTATGTCAGTTTTAAGAAAATTACATGACCACATGGTTTGTGCAGAGCAGCCCAAATACCTCTCTGTTGAGCTTTTAATGGGGCACACGAAGGAAAAGAAAAAAGGGGGTGGAGAGAGAAAAGCAGAACAAAACAAAAATCCCACACAAACACTCTTTACTGGGCTCTGCTATCCTCACTGCATGTAAAACAATTTGAAACAAAAATTTCACCAGAAGAGCACATTTTGGTCTAAATGAATAGAAACTCACCTGGTTTAAAGAATAAAGGATCATTTTTAAATATCTTCAGTGACTCAATCACACTTTCAAATTTTTCCTTCAAATAATACTCTTCTTGCTCAAATTCCTTGTCTCTCCTGCCAGGTTTTGAATTTCGGCTTTTTACCTCACCTTCACGTTCTTTTCTCGGTTTGACAGAATCAGTCTTTTCAATCTCTTTGCCTTCTTTTTCTTTTTGGTCTTTATCCTGATAGGGTTTTGTTAGTTTAGGTGCTCTGTTTGCCTTTTCCTTTTCTTCCTTTACTTTTGTAATATCTTTTTCATAGTGACGAATCCCACTCAAGTGTGAAACTAATAGTCTTGTAGTAATAGCGACCTAAGTAGAAAGGACAATATTTAAATGTGAGCTCTCTTCATTAAAGAGATGATGCACACTAAATCACCAGAAAAGTAAAATTCAACATGACAAGGAACAAAGATACAAGACCATTTAAATATCATGTATCAAACCCATTAAAATATACACATATATATGCACACATGACACACTTGATATAAAACTGAAGATCCAAATTTCCAGCACTGCTTTCTCGAGCAGCAAACATCAGTACTTGTGTAAGTGATTTTGGGCGTTTTACAGGACTTGGTCCAGATATAAGCACCTGCACACATATGGCTGTACAATGCCAAGAACAAAAATCCAAGAAAGTATTACCAATAAACAATTACATACCTTTTCACCCTCGTAGACTTTTTCTGGAAATTCAGGGACATATTTCTGCACTGGAGCATCTAAATCCAGTTTCCCCTCTTCCCACAATTTAGCAACAGCCATCATTGTAAGACACTTGCTAATACTAGCAATTCGCATGATCGTCTCTGGCTTACATACTACACGATTCTCTACATCAGCATAACCTAAACCTTTAAGAAAACAAAAACACTGTGGTAAATATTTTGCATAGAGACATGCTGAATTAATTATTTGCAATTAATTAGATTTACTGCCTCCTTAAAATGGTTTTCCTCTAGCTAAACTGGGACATGAAGCATTGGACTATCCCTGCTCCTGCTTCAATTAAGTTAATAACATTTTAATGTAGTATAAACAGTTAATCAAAGCCCATTGCATTGGCCAATGGCATCTCAAGTTACTGATTAAGACTACAAAACAAACCTCATGATAAACGAGACTGAAGATTAAGCCAAAATGTACACTCCAGAAGTCAAATATTCAATGTAAAAAAACTAGAGACCAAAATCTAGACTGTATAATAAACGACCAACAGTCATAAATACTCCTTTTCTTGTTCTAAATAAATGGTTGAAACAGTAAAGAGTCTTATTTTATCAATACAGAAATTGAGAAAGGAAATCAATCACAAACTCATAGCAATTACCTAAGCTGTAAAGCTTCACAAAACAGTAGTGCTATACACTATGTTTCCACATCACTCAGCATGACTTCAATTAAAAGACAGCTTAATAGCCTCCACAGCAGCGTTTTGCTTTGTAACCAACCCACAATTCTGGTAGCGAGAACTGGAATTAATAAGGCTATCAAGCTCCCACACTAGTCTTCAGTTTCAGCTAGGTTTGAAGAAACTGCAAGTGATGTTGCAGTACAAAAAGCAACGAAATGCTGTAATACATAATTTGCAGCTGTCAGTACAAGCAAGGCCTGCCGTCTGTCTATATAAAATTGCAGTCTAATAATGAACTACTCGGGGAAAAAAACCCTTGCCAAAATACAAGAAATAAAACAGATGACACATCAGTTGCCCAAGACCCTTCCTTTTACGTAAAGTTGCTACTCAAGTGCTTGCATAGTGCTTATGAACGCAGATGCTGTACCCCTCAGTGAAAATACCTTCCGAATCTCCATCACTCCCACCAGTTTAGCAAGAAAGCAGGTTTAGTACCGTGGCCACAGAGTATGTGCAACTTACACCTGTTCCTATTCCCCCCCTGTCCCATGAAGAAGGGAGGAAGACAACAAAACAAGCCAGAAGTCCGCTCCAGCAATGTTACCCACCTCCCGGCTGCCCTACTAAAGGCAGTGTTGTTCGCTATGTCCACGCGCAGCAGGGTGCAGAAAGCTCTGCCATGGCTTACGCTCCCACATGTAGTTGTCTTACTACTGGATGTGGCAGTTCGGGTGATAAATTGCAACCCTGGCACTAGCTCCCTCAGGCACTTCCCTGCGTGTCAAGGAAGGGATTCTGCAGAAGTCTTACAAAAACTTCTGCTTTCATTGCTAGATAATCTGAGACCAGACAAAGCTATCTGATTTGAGGGAGTTTGTGATTAAGTTTCTAGCACAATTTTCTTATTAGGCCACATGACAAAAGGTACCAGAGGCTCTCCAACTCACTTCTGTCATGATGAAAGAGAAATTAAAACCTATAATCAGCTTTATACATACATAGAAGTTAATGCAAAAACAGTGTCAGATGAAAGTTAGTAACAATCTTACTTACAAAGACATTTTTTTCAAATTCTATTACACATTAATGAAATATATTGACGTTTACTACTACCATTTAAGCTGTCCAAAAAACCCAAAACACATCATGAAAATGTTTTGAAAACAGACACACAGTTCAGTGGTTTTTTTAAATAAACATCAAATGTCTACATGATATGAGCAGCACTAACAGACTCTATTTAAAACTAAACTATGTAACCAGAAATATCACTTACAATTTCTGAAAGGACACCACCTGTTAAATCTCAGTACCTTCTCAATAAAAATCTACAGCTCAGCCCACAAACAGGAGACAGATGACCAAATGTGAGCTACTACTACTTTGACTATTAAGTAGATTCCTGTGGGGAGAACAGTTCTTTACCTCCTACATACAATTCTACCAGACCGTCATACACCTGTATGTCTAGAGTACAAGTATATTCAAAGACCATACTAACAAATTAATGGTAGAAAAGTTGTTAAACTTAACTGTTGAGGTATACTAGCACATTCAGGAAGCTAATAAATTATCAGTTTCTGGAAATTATTGAAGTTTACCAAGGAAAATATCACCTCGTACTCCCTAGGCACCTGTTTCTGGCCACTGCCTGGAGATGGGACATCAACTGGATGAAATCCCAGCTTGATCAGTGTGTCTGAAGGTTCATTTTTACAAGGTTCTTCACTTCCCAACAGCGTGCATGACTATGACTCCCATATACTAACCTTCTGACCAGACTTCCTTTCCGTCTACCGAAACTCCAATTAGTATGCCTGGGATTCCTGCTTCATCCTGTCAAAGAAAACAGACAGAAGATATTAAGAAGGATCTTTACAGTTAAAAAAGACCTTCTCCCAAACGCTAAAGATGTCAATGCAATTCTACAAATACACAAATACACCTGCACACTGTTGTCACATTACAGTTGAAATTTTGTTAAATACTAGTTGGGCTGCACTGGAACAAGCTGCTTTTAAAAAGGAGGCATTTTAATCCAGCAACTGAGAAAAATACATCTAACACCACCAATAACTTATTTAAAAGTAATTCATTTAATGATTTAATTAAATTAATGATCAGGACACACAAGAAAAGCTGAATAGAAACAGAAATTACAGAGTTAATACGCACTATGCAAACTGTATCATCTCTTAGCACGCAAAATTTCAAAGGAGCTTGAGTTAGATTTTCCAAGTAACTACAACGCGCCGTTTGATCAGCCCCTTTGCCTCTCTCTCTCTCTCTCTCCCGCCTGCAGCCCGGCAGGGCTCCCCTCGTCCTCCCATGCCCGTGCTGGACCTCCCTTCCACCACCTCCCCGCATCAACCTCTGCCTGCCCTAAGCTCCCTAAGCTCCGGCAGCCTTCGCTGACGCTACGTTAAGAGGAAAAATGCTGGAATATTGCGACAGATAGCTCCTGCAACATTCAGGGATCCAGTTGTGATGGCGGAGGGGGAACCCAACGAGCACCGCAGGCGCCAGCCCCACCAGCTCGGCGGGGTTCGCTCTCCTCCCCAAGGCCCCCAGAAACGATCCCCCCCCAACACTTGACCGAAGTCTCTCGCAGCGATGGAGAAGCCCGCGGGAGGGAGATCCCCGCCCGCTTCCCCCCGGCGGGCTGGCTCGCACAGCACCGGCCACGGAGTGAGAGCACCGGCCACGGAGTGAGACCCCCGCCCCCTCAGCACCTTAATCCTCCGCAGCAGGTCCCTGCTCCGCTCGATGGCCGCGCC